AAGGGAGTGTGGGACGGCACCCCAGTCACAATTGGTGTGCGGGTCAGCACTCCAACAATCTGCATGAGCATTCCCCCCGGCAGGTTTCGCGTGAGAGTCTGCACCTCAAAGATACAGGCTGTGGTTAAACACATATTTTATACATATGCGTTTATCCCCCGGGGCTATATCATAGGACCCAGGCGCCAACCTGCTGGGGGAATGCCCCTGTAGATTGTTGGAGTGCGGACCCACACACCCATTTTGATTGGAGTGCGGTCCCACACCCCCCTCAGAGAAGGGAGTGTTGGAGTGAGTGCACAAAGAGGGGAGGGGGGGGGAGTGTGGTTATCATTCCCCAAAATTGAATAATTGGGCAAGCCATTCCAATGAGTGCTTGGACTGATGTTGCCCGACAATTCCTGTTGTGCGCCACCACTGGGCTGCTGAACTCGTTGGAAAAAGTCTGTCCAAAGACTTGTTGGACTGGCTGGTCCAACAAGTTAGTTTATTCAGTGTGTAATGTGGTCTTGTTTTTATTTTTTGGTTGAGTTGTGTTCTAGTTAGGGATGTGATGACATTTCTGTGACATTTCACTCCCCAGAGTCAAAGTTCAGTTTGAACTGAGATGATGGTGAAGCATGGCACTCTGATCTGATCCAAGAAAGACCCATCAAATCTTATTGATAGTTCTGATTCTCATACTCATCCTCAAGTTCACTCAAACTCAACAACTGCCACAGAAATAAATTTCTGTTGTCCACTCTCAGCAAACAAAACAACCCCAACACATTTTGTTCAGATCACAGCTCAACTCTCAGACCCCACTTGAAGGCAGCCCTCAAAGCAACATCCCTTCAACCAACTGCCTATCGCATGGCACAATAGGAGTTCCACACCGTTCCTCCTTAATTTTCTGTGTTGGTTGAAAGCTAGGTGGTTTTGGTGATAACAGTGATTTGTAGGGGTCTTGTGATAACTGAGCTCTCTGCAAGGGCGGGTTGATTGATTGGGGCATGGCTTGATTCACCGGTTTTGACTTTCTTTGCAACTGGTTTGTGTTCGGTCATGCACCACAAGTTGTCCTCCTTTCAGTTTTTACACATGTCTTTTTGCAATGTGCTTCCCAAACCATCCACCAACAGAGGAGCTCTCATGCTGTCTGGGGAGGACCTGACAAGCCTAGTGTCAGCCACAGAGCACCTTTCCGAGTACGTGAAATGTACCTAGTAACTGCAAGATAATAATTAATTGAATACAAGTAAAGATTATACCTTGTTGTTAAAATAATAAATGAATAAATATGTATTTACATTTGGGCCTTAATAAAAAAACCTGGTTTTTCCGCGTTTTGACACGGTTTTTCTGTGCGCAGCAGACGTGGTTTCCGTGTTTAAACCCGGTTTTTTAATTAATTTTCTTTTGCCATTAATTTTGAGTTTTTTTGATTTTTTAAAGTTGTTTCCTACACTTTAAAAGGTGTAGAATTTAATGGTAAAAACCATTTCCCATAAAAATGAATTTTGATTATCAATTATTTTTTTTTCACTCATTTCTCAATTAATTGTTTGCAGCCATGTATGTACCTTATTTTTTATGTTTTTTTTAAATTAAAATTTTATTTCCTAGGTTTTAATGTGCGTACAATTTAATGGTAACATCCAAATTTCTTAAAACTCAACAGTTCATTTTTAATACTGAAATTTGACATTTTTTTCACTTAAATTTGTACAGCTTAAGTTTCATTCTTTTTTGACTTTTAAATTTATTTCCCACACTTCAAGAAATGTTTAAAATGATGGTAAAAATCATTTTGCACCAAAATGAGAACTACACCTTGTATACTGCATTTGACACCGTTTTTTTATTTAATTCTTCACTTTTTCACTCAATTGTTTGCATTAATTTTTTTACCTTATTTTTTATGCTTTTTTGAAATTTTAAAGTTTTTTCCTACATTTCAAAGTGTTTAGAATTTAATGGTAACATTCAATTTCCATAAAACTCAATAGGGGGGTTCACAATAGCTATTTTGGCTTATGGTCCCCCCTAAAAAAATTCTTGCTGGTGTGATTTTTTTGTTAAATTTTACGCTGAAAAAACCACCACTAACAACGGCCAGGCTCCATAAAGGTTGCTGTTCATCAATCGTCTTCAGATAAAACTCAACCCCCTATACATCCTCTGTTGGAAACACCACCCAGCCCCCTCTGGTCTTGATTACACATCACCTTTTGGCAAAATATCAAACATCCGCTTGTGATATACATACAGCCTTGCAAGTTGCGATTGACCCTTCCGGATTTCAAAAGTAATTTCCATCAGTCAGGTAAGTTTTTTGGTTGATTCAGTGTAATCTATGTTCTGTTTGTTCGTTAATCAATAACAGGGTTGTTTGTGGTGGGGGGAAGGATGTGAAGGAATTTGGTTCTTTCCTGCTCTTCTTGATACTCATAAGGGCAAGAAAAAACATTTGTATATGCTTGTATGCATGGAAATTTGATTGTATAAATGTGTTTGATTTTTGATGAAAGAAGAGGAGGAGTATACATAACAATAAATTCAAGAAAAAAAACCAGGATTACCAAGTATGAATAAATAAACACTAAAAAAAGGATAGCAAGATGGACAAGTACAAGTTCTCAGCAAGCAAGTTCAGGCTAGACCACGTCTTCCTTGTCCTCCTCTTTGTTGTTGTTGGTGATCATCATCATCATCGTCTTCTTCTTCTTCTTTGATGTTGGCTCTGATGAACTGCTCAATAGAGGTGCTGATTTTGTGCTTGATTTTGCTCGGGATCGTGTCTGTTTATACATACACCTCTCCAATCAGTTTTTTTGGATGGATGGATGGATGGATCGGGGTGAGAGGAACAACGGACCCGGGGAGGGGGGGGGGACATACTTTGGGCGATTGGCCGAGGGTTGCCGGTGTGGGCGGAACAACTTTTGTTGGAGGAATGCCGGGAATAATCCTATAAGTCGATTGAGTGGGTCCCTCTGGCTCCGAGGGCTGCCAGTGTGGGTTGAACACCTTTTGTTGGAGGAATGCCTGTGTGAATAACCAGAGGCAGGCGGTAGAAAATGGGATGTGATCACCAGTGCGTTCCCATTGCTAAATTTTCCTGGTGCATCAATGCTGGTGTGGTAAACACTCTCTAAAATTTTAAGTTGCGCAGCATGTGCAACTGTCCTGGTGGGACAATAAAACTTTTCTGGTGAAAAGCTATCGTGAACCCCCCTAATGGTTCCTTCTCCATACTGTAATCAGCCTTAAAATTCAATTGATTTTTAAGAGCTTAATTTTCATGATTTTTTGACATTTTAAATCTGTTTCCTACACTTTCAGACATGTATAGAATTATGGTATCAATCAAATTGCATCAAAATAAAAACTGTACCTTGAATAAAGCCTTTGACATGTTTCTTTAATTAATTCTTACACACTTAATTATCCTTATTTTATGGAATTTTAATTTCATCTCCTACACTTTGAAAGGTTTTCAAATTTTTGGCTGTATCCATTTTGCATTCAAATAAAATTTGTATACAGTACAAATTATGCAAGAAATGGTGTACACTCTTATATTAAGATTGAAGATTTTATTTTGAGGCAAAATGAGTTCCACCATTAAATTCTAGAAACTTTAAGATGGAGGAAATAGATTTAAAATTTCAAAAAATGATTAAAATTGAGCCGGTAAAAATTAAGGGTCTTAGTTAAACGACTCCCAGAAATTGGAGTTCCGACTCCCAAATTTATGGGACGTCAAGATGACCGTCCGCAGACGTTCCTCAGGACGTGCAACCCCAAAATTGGGAGTCAGAAAACCAAAACCTTCAAAAGGTTTGGGAGTCGTTCCCCCAACAAAAAAATAATAAAAATAAAAAAATGAATTATCTATATGAATGGTCTCAACAGCCAAGAGGAATACCTCTTGGCCGCTGAGAGTGTATGCTCTCAATGGCCGAGAGGGATTCCTCTCGGCTGCTGAGAGTGTACGGCTCTCAGAGGCCGAGAGGGATTCCTCTTGGCCGCTGAGAGAATCCCTCTCGGCCTTTGAGAGTGTACAACTCTTGCCAGCTGAGAGGGATCTCATGAATGGTCTCAACAGCCGAGAGGGATCTCTCGGCTGCTGAGAGTTTACACTCTGTGCGACTGAGAGTCATACACTCTCAGCAGCCAAGAGGAATACCTCTTTGTTGCAGAGAGCTGTACACTCTCAGCAGCCGAGAAATCCCTCTCGGGCGCTGAGAGTGAATGCTCTCAACGGCTGAGAGGGATCTCTCGGCTGCTGAGAGTGTACAGCTCTCTGCAACCAAGAGGAATCCCTCTTGGCCACCAAGAGTCGTGCACTCTCAGCAGCCGAGAGGAATACCTCTTGGCAGTTAAGAGCATACACTCTCTGCGACCGAGAGGAATCCCTCTCAGCCGCCGAGAGTTGTGCACTCTCAGCAGCCAAGAGGAATACCTCTCGGCCGTTAAGAGCATACACTCTCAGCGGCCGAGAGGAATCCCTCTCGGCTGTTGAGGGCATCTTCCCCGCGCCAACTCCCAACCCCCCTGGGGTTTGTGGTGGATCAACTCCCAAAAACCCCCGGGGGGTTTTGATTTTTTTCATTTTATTTTGATTTTTTTATTTTTTTATAAGGAGAACGACTCCCAACCCTTTGAAGGTTTTGGAGGTCCGACTCCCATGGACGTCCGGACGAGCATCCACAGCTGGTCCTCTTGACGTCCCAGAATCTTGGGAGTCGGAACTCCAATTTCTGGGAGTCGTTTAACTAAGACCCAAAATTCATTAGAAAAGCATCAAAAAAAAACCTGTCCCACGCAGTATTCATTACCAATCTTTGGTTTTTATGAAAAATGATTTTTACCATCATTTTAACCATGTCTTGAAGTGTAAGAAATAAATTTAAAAAGTCAAAAAAGAATGAAAATTAAGCTGTAAAAATTTAAGTGAAAAAAATGTCAAATTTCAGTATTAAAAATGAACCGTTGAGTTTTGAGAAATTTGGATGTTACCATTAAATTCTATGCACATTAAAACCTAGTAAATAGATTCAAAATTTCAAAAAAAACATAACACATAAAGTACATACATGCATGCATGCAAACAATTAATTGAAAAACATGTGGAAAAAAAAAATTAATAAACAAAAGTCATTTTATTGGAAAATGGACTTCACCATTAAATTCTACGCATTTTTTAACGTAGGAAACAATTTTAAAAACTTCAAAAAAATTAAAATAAAAGGTAAAAAAATTAATCAAAAAACCGGGTTTAAACACAGAAACCGTGTCTGCTGCGCGCAGCAGCAACCGCGTCAAAACGCGGAAAAACCGGGTTTTTGTATTAAGGCCCTTTACATTTAATCTTAATTCATAATTTACATTTAATAATTCAATAAT